GTGATTTTAGTATGAATGCAGAATTGTATACTTAATTAAATATTTTAGTATTTAAAGTATAAACTCTTGGTCAGAGTGTTTTAATCCCAAATGGGTTTATAGTTAGTATATCTTTTATGGGTTCATATACTCAATTCACTATAAACAATGCTCTGATACCAATCTGTCACACCCCAAAACCGAGAACGGCGGAAACGTTCTGGGGCGGAGGACATCATGTACAGTATCACAACATAGTATAACAGTAAATAAGCAAACAACAACATCCATTGCATTAAATATATAATTTTAATACAAGCGTGTTCTATACAGTTATAGACACCAAAACTGTAAATCAAAATAATAAGATGAGTCTTGACTGCACTCCATCTTCTCAAAAGCTGGCCTCGGTACCTGTCTACTGATGACCTGAGAATACAAGTTATTTTGAAAGAGTTTATCAGCATTAAGCTGGTGAGTTCATAAGTATTTTAGTGTTGGTGGTTGTATCAAAATGTTTGAACGTAGTTATAAGTATGAGTTTGTAAACGTTTGTAAGTGTTTGTAAATGTTTGAATCTCCTAGAAAAACCTATATAAATTCTATTAAAAGTAGCCTTCTACCAAGGGGTAACTGTTTTGTATGTTCGTTTACTATAAAAGTGTGTAATTTTCCCAAGTGTAACTATCATTCTCAAAATATAGTTTGTACATTAATGTTTAAGTGAAAAGATCACTAAATATGTAAAGGGTAAATTAATGTAGTACTGTAGTGTTGTATTATAGGAACTACAGCCGTACTAACTACCTTAAAACGGATTTATATTAAGGTATCATGTGATTAATTGTACCATACTATCGACTGGATAAAGAATTATATGTAGGTCGTAAAATGAAATGACGTTTGGCACCCGCAGACCTGCAGGTCCGGCTGTAGCTAACAACAAGGTGTAGGATAGTCAATCCAGTATAGATCTATACGCAAACTCACGCTCTCCCTTCAAGAGACTCTGGTTACAACACGGGTCATGACATTGAATTCATGCTCCAATATGGATCATAATGGTTAATGTATTCATGTATATGTAATGTAATGTTACTCGTACTATTATCGTTGTATATATTCTCCTTCTAGTATAGTTGTATATGTTCTCCTTCTAGTATAGTTGCATATGTTCTCTTTCTAGTATAGTTGTATATCTTCTCGTTCTAGTATAGTTGTATATGTTCTCTTTCTAGTATAGTTGTATATGTTCTCATAGTATAGTTGTATATGTTCTCTTTCTAGTATAGTTGTATATGTTCTCTTTCTAGTATAGTTGTATATGTTCTCATATTATAGTTGTATATGTTCTCATAGTAATAAGTATTGACTCATGAATGAACTGACTCATTGATCTAACAATAGTATATGTATGATCCTATGTTACCCCGATGGTAACTTACAAATGATGTAACTAGTATGTATGAACATGGAAGAACTTTTATGACCATATATGTACACATGATATATAATTAATATTGAAACGACCTTCGGACGGCTACTCAATATCCCACCAGACCACATCCAAATCGAGGAAAAGGAAATAGGGCGTGCGGCCTTCCTAAGCCTTTTAAACATTGCTTATATAACTATACATATACGGGCAAGCAAGTTATAATAAGTATAACAAAGTTTAAGTAAAATCATTTGATAAGTAAAAGAGTTCGTAAAACAGTTTGAAGTAAAAGAACTTTGATAAACAGTTTGAATAGTAGTAAAATCATTGGTTTTGTAGTTATTAATCACATGTGATTGATGTAATAACTATAAGTATTCAACTTGTATTCCTCCCCATAAAAGCATTTAAAACATTTAAAAGTATTTCAAAGGTGAATTAAAGGGGTATGAACTCACTTGTGGTGAGTGGATTGGATTGAAGTGTCGGGTACGGTGCTAGGTGACAAATGAAGACTTGTACACACGCATGAGCCTAGTTATCATATAATGAACATATATATAACTAATTAGCCAATTTATAAATAATAAATTAGGTTGGGACACCCTAGAACATGAAAAAACTTTGTTTCAAGTGTTAAAGATCACAAGGATTGCATCCGAGTGTTGGTAGGGCAAAACTAGTGTGTTTGGAGTCCAAGGGTAAAATCCCTTGGAGTTTACGGCAGTAAACTCTAGATTTTATGGTCGTAAGCTCTAGTCTTAAGGTCCAAGTGTTGTTTTGTGGTTTAGCAAGACATTGAAGCATTTCTACTAAGTGGTTTGGCCTTTGGAATGGACTAGGGCAACAAAACACCCCATTTGAGGAGTTTACAGCCTCATGGCATTTTCCTTTGGGTTTAAAAACCGTAAACCCACATAGAAGAGGGTATTGCCATGTTTTCAAGTCCTTAACACAAATAGGTAAGTGTATAAGCTAGTTTATAGGCCTAAGGAAGGAAAATGACCCATTTAAACATACTTTAGGGTGCTTACGGTTTTGGGAGATCCCCAAACTGTAAACACCTATATTTGTGGGTATTTGATGTTTTTCAAGGCTTAAACACAATAAAGGAAGGTTTAAACATGTCAAGGATGGTTTATACATAAAACTAGGGCTTAGATAAGAACTTAGGCACACTTTGGTGCATTTTATGGTGTTTACGGCCCAAGCATCTTCTTGGACCATGAACATCTCTTGCCTTGTGTTCTTGACATATTTTCTTGGTGTTTAAATGTAATACTAGCTTAGAATGACTCAAGGATGGAAGCACTTACTAGTAGAAGGCTTGATTTGAGCTAAAAGGCCAAGAACACTTAGTGTGTGTTCTTGGTGTTTTGAAAAATCTAAAGAAAAACTGGAAATGAATGGATGAGTAGATGCACAAACACTACATTAAGTGTTTTTTACTAACTTGAAATGGTTAGAACACTTACAAGATTGAAGATTTGGAATTAAATCTTGGATGATATTTGAGAGAGTTTTTGGAGTTTACTCTTTTGACTATTTGGGGAGTAAACACAAATGACTAGTTTTTGGGAAGTAAACTCATACATATGTATGAGTTCACGGTTTTTGGGTGAATTCTAAACCCAAAACATAAAAGTTTGGTCGGGTGTTTCTAATACGTGAAGTGCTTGCGGTTTTCAAAAATCAAAACCCGAGACGACACTTTCTTTCATACATTCGTTTAAAAATAATATCAAAATAATCAAACGGACTTTATTTTTCTAAAAAATAAGAAATAATGAGATTAATTTATGATACGAAGTGGTTGACTTTTAGGGTTTGACCAAATGAAAATTTCAGATTGTCACATCATCTCCCTGTTAAGGGAATTTCGTTCCGAAATTAAAGTCTAAAATAATAAAGTCGTTACAAATAACTAAGCAAAGAGATGAGGGTATTTCAGTTTCATCTAATCCTCACGTTGCCAAGTGAATTCCGGTCCTCGCTTGGCGTTCCAGCGAACCTTCACAATCGGGATACGGCTTTGCTTTGTCTGCTTGACTTCTCGGTCCAAGACCTCTACTGGTTCTTCCACGAAATTGAGGCTCTCGTTGATCTCGATCTCATCGACTGGGATTACAAGAGTCTCGTCGGACAGATACTTTTTCAAGTTAGATACATGGAATGTAGAATGTACGTTACGAAGTTCGTCGGGTAGATTGAGTTTGTATGCTACAGGGCTGATTCTTGCGAGAATATCGAAGGGCCCTATGTATCTTGGATTAAGCTTTCTACGCTTACCGAAGCGTATCAAGCCGTTCCAAGGTGAGACTTTGAGCAGGACTCGGTCTCCCACCTGGAATTCCAAGGGGTTCCTTCGCTTATCAGCGTAGTTCTTCTGTCGGTCTCTAGAGGCTATCAATCATTCACGGATCTGAACGATCTTCTCTGTTGTTTTCCGAATGATTTCCGGCCGGTGAGAGTACTGTCAGAAGCTTGCCCCCTAGCTAATTGGGTATCCCCCACTTCAGCCCAGCACAGAGGGGATCTACACTTTCGGCCATAGAGGGTTTTGTATGGAGCAGCCTTGATGCTCATGTGATAACTGTTATTGTAGGAAAACTCGACAAGGGGTAAATGAGTATCCCATGCATTTCGAAAGTCAATCGCACAGGCTCTCAACATATCTTCTAGTGTTTGGATGGTCCTCTCACTTTACCCGTCGGTCTGTGGATGATAGGCCGTACTCATGTCCAGCCTAGTTCCTAGGGAACTTTCTAATGACTGCCAAAACCTTGAAGTGAATCTACTATCCCTGTCTGAGATAATAGATAAGGGAACACCGTGCAATCTTACAATCTCCCTAATGTAAGTTCTTGTAAGTTTCTCCATCTTGTCAGTTTCTTTGATAGGCAGGAAGTGTGCAGACTTGGTCAATCTATCGACGATGATCCATATGGTATCAAGTCCACCCGTTGTCTTGGGGAACTTGGTTATGAAATCCATTGTGATCCGCTCCCACTTCCATTATGGAATTTCTAGTTGTTGTAGTAAACCGGAGGGCTTCTGGTACTCGACCTTAACCTTTGAGCAAGTAAGGCATTTACGTACGAAGGTAGCAATCTCTACTTTCATATTAGGTCACCAGTATAGCTTTTTGAGATCTAAATACATCTTATCTGAACCTGGGTGGATGGAATACCGAATGTTGTACGCCTCGGTCATGACCAAGTCTCGAAAACCACCGTGTTTCGATGTCCAGATCCGGTCCATGAAATAATAAGCTCCGCCATCCTTAACCTCTAAGTTCTTATCCATTTCTCTCAGGGATTCACCTGCCACGTTTTCAGGTTTCAAAGCGTCGAGCTACGCAGCCTTAATTTGTGTGGATAAGTGTGAATGGATAGTCATAGTCAAAGATTTGACTCTTCGACCAGAATATTCTTTCCGACTTAGGGCATCAGCTACTACATTGGCTTTACCCGGAGCACTCATCTAATCTCGAAAAGATGAACAATGTTGTGAATGCCTCTACCTTTGTTTGCAACGAAACGACCAAAAAGTCGATAAACTAATTTCTGATGCTACTATGTTTATGAACAACTTCCAGTCTTCTTTTGAGCCTAACACATTGAGAGCTAATGAAACAATTGCAAATCTTAGCTCGTCTCTTAAGGCTGAAAGAACAAAACTACAAGAAGTCCGAACTGGAATCACCACTGATCACGAAGTGTTCAAATCATCCATTTCTTCTCAACTCTCTAAACTTCAGGATGATCTCGCCATGGAAAGCAAGATAATGGACTCCCTTTCCATTAAAACTAAAAAAGTTAAAGTTCTCACTGTTAACCTTGAACATGTTGAGAAAGATATTCAGGATCTGATCGCCGAGAAGGCAATAATGAAAAGTTGTATATCTGATGTTAATGGTTTCATCTCAGACATTATCAAGACCAAGGATCCAATGATAACAATTACTGTTCTGAAGCATCTTGCTGAAAAGCTAAGACCTATGTTTGCTATGTTACTCCACTTGGAGGGTATTCCGGAACCTTCTGTTATTCCAAAACAAAGGGGAGATCAACCGAAAAAGCCTTCAACAACTTCGTTGAAAAAGCCTCCAACAACTTCAATCAAGCCAAGCATTAAGAGCAAATCTAAGGCAAAAGGCAAAGACAAGCTTTTTTATGAGGAGCCAATAGTTGATAACGGCGATGAAGAAGAGCTTGATGAAGAAGAACTCAAAAGGTGAAAGGCTTGTGAGGTTCAACTAGATGAGAATCAAAGAATTGTGAGAGAGGCTGAAACTAAGGAGAAAGCTGAAAAAGAATCAAGGTCCGCTCTTGAAAGCAGGAAACTCTTGTTTCCTATTTGGAAGTTAAAAAGGATTCAAATTCAAGCTATTGATTCACCTAATTAGTATTGGCTAGAACCAGTTGTGTCATTCTACCTCCAAAATACTCAGGACTCGCAACTAGATCTTCCAGTTATATCTAAAGCCTTCAATTTCGTTCTTTTCATTAGTGTTGTGAATTTTCTCGTCTCTGATAATGATGGTGATCAACTTCATTTCCAATTCTATCTTAAGCACATGAGGATGCAATACGAAACTTGGAGTGCCAGCAAAATCATGGCAGTGAAGGTAACCGAACCAATCGAGACTGATAGTTTTCCTAAAGCCAAATTCAAAGTTATCATAGGCTCTACGAGTCATGTTCAGGAGTTCACTCTCACAGAACTAACATCTATCAATCCTTATGATTAGATAATTCTCTATAATCTTTTATTGTGAGACGTGCAAAAGTACGAACCTGTCATCCATCACCTTAAGCTTATTATCATTTCATATATCCAAGAGGTGGGCATCGTGGATGTAGAGATAGCTATAGTGTTACGAAAAAAGCATACTACAGTTCCTAAGGAAGCTCTTGAGGGGTTTGAAAAGTTGAAGATTAGAAAACTCTACAAGGAAATCTGGTATGTTGTCTTTCAAGCGAGGGATAAGAATGATGCTAACTATCACAAAACGTGTTTCTTCCTCCCAGAAAAACACTTATACACCACATCTTGTATTGATTTCATCTTGGATCTTATCAACAAATACAAGAGAAACAGTGAAGGTGATAAGAAATACTTCTCAGACATGATTCGTTGGTATGTCCAGGTTCATAAAGCATTGTTGAGCATAATGTCGAAGGTTTTTGAAGTACAAAAGCGAATCCAGAATTCGTGTTCGCATTCCTCAAATGACGCAAAGGGGGAGATTGTTGGGTATTAGATGTTGCATCGTTGGGCTTTTTGTATGGTTTGTTATCTAAACGTTTGGGATTTTCCATCCCGTATTTAATTCTAGGGTTAGAGTATTTAAGGTGCATGCATGCATCTTATTTTTGTTAACTTCGATATTATTTTATAACCCTAATCACGCCTCTACAGTAGCAATTTTTTTTCAAGTTCTTCTGAGGCGTGACAATTAATCATTCAGAATTATTTAGATCATTGTGTTCTTGTTTGAATTTTTTTGAATCTAAACGATCTTTAAGGATTTTCATCCTAGCAATCTTGAGAGTTACCTCATCTATCAAGGGGTGAAAGCCTGATACGGGAAACTGCGATAAGCTCGCAGTACATCACTCGTTGGCAGAACATCACAAAGCATTGCTTCAGGAATAGGGCCGATGAAACTGAACTTTGAGTTGTCTGCGAGGATGATGTTGGTGGTGTGGAAGATTTGAATGGCTGCCATATAGGACCCTTCTGAGACCGAAATGTTAAGTTTGCTAATCGCCCTTTGAACAAAGATTGTCCAGAAATGAGTATAGGAGATTTCATTGTGTTGTGTGGTAGAAAGAGTGCTTTAAACCAACTGGGCCCAGAGAACAGACCCGTAATCCAAGTTGATTCCTGATTTGATGTCATACATCAAAGTCATGAACATCTTGCTCGCACAGTCAGAGCTGGTCACTGTGACAACTGTCAATTCAGGTCATTCTCGGACTCATGCATCTTTATAAAAACCATTCATGCACAACATGCCATGGCCTAGTAGTATAAATTAGGTCAAAATCTTGCATTAACTAGGATCCAACTAAGATCTAGGACTAATATACTTGACTCTTACGATTCTAGTAAGAAGCTTAACTACAATAGAAAATGCCAATACCATAAGTAGAATGAAACTTCAAACTTTGTTACAATTGAAAAAGGGTATAAAACCCTAAAAATAAATTAAAATATTATAATTTCATTCCAATATGATAGTGAATATCAAACAATGTTCCAAAAACCCTAAAGAGCTAAAATCCAAATTTATAAACCTTAAAGCTTAAAAACTCTATAAAATTAGCTATAAACTTCCTAATATCATATTTTTATTAATAAAATTATGGATTATAATCAATGAAATAGAAATTTAAATTATCATACATTAATCATAATTTATTAGTTAAAAACAAGATTTTTAAATAAATCAAGAATTGCCTTAATAAAGACTTTTATAAAAATTACGGTTTATAAAAATTAAGGAAGGAGTTTTATAAAGTTTGAATTTAGGAGAGAGGAGGCTTTAATGCTCACAAAATCCGGCCATCCCTTCTCCCCATGATCTCTCTCTTCCCAAAACTCAATCATTAAGACTTTTTCCCCACTCTTCCACTTCTCTCTTCACTCTCTCTCACACTTCACCCTTTCAACTCTCAAACTCTCTTCCTCTCTCTCTAAACTCACGAAATTTTTCATTCAAGAACACCTCTCCATACTCAAATCTTCATCTTCCAAGGCTAATCTTCAAGGTATACACGAAAATCTTTCACCCTTCCTTACTTTTCCTTCTTGTTTTTAAAGGGTTTTTTTGTATTTCTCTTCCTTCTACACCATTCTTTATGAACATTCCTGAACATATTCATGAATGTCAAGTTTGATGATGATGGTGGTAGGGTTTCACCCAATAACAAAATGCATGTTGTTTAATGGTGAAATCCAAGGACCAAAACCTATGTCAAACACTAAAGTTCGGATTTTTACAAGTTTTAAAGGTTCATACACCTTATGCATTCAAGTATTTCCTTTAAAAGACATCACTATGACAAACATATTGTTGGATTAATGTCTAAGTCCATAAGTATATTTGGTATGTACTTGACCCGACCCGCCATGGTCCATTTGGGTTGCACTTCACCAACACAATTTATATGGATAGTCTTTTGAGAATAGTATATTTATGATTAATATTAATATATTATAAGTTCTAATATATTAATATGGAATCATATTATTTAATTAGTATTGATCAAGAATTAAATTAGAATTAATTAAGTGATCAAAATGAACTAATTAAATATGGACTCTTATATATATGGAATGGGCCAAGTTCATTTAGGTTGGGCTAAGCTTTCATGGATAGTCCATGGAGTGTTTAACCCATGGATCATATGAAATGAAAGGTCATGGGTTTAACCCTAGTCTCCATACTATATAAAGATGTCATTGGTTGGTGAAATTGGCACTAGTGTGGTACACAAAGAAGGGCTAGCCGATTTCACTAGAGAGAACCAAGTATCCATATTCTCTAAAGTCTTCCAATCTGTTTTAGTGATTTGTGATTCCACTTGAGGCTTCCACACAATTGGGGCTAAGCTCTTAAAGCTTGAAGATATCAAGCTACATCAAAAGGTATGTCATTTAACTAGTACTTTGTAGTATAAGAACTTCATAATATGCTAGTTAGGATTAAAGCCTTGGAAAGTTCTTATTTGCATGTATAATAGAGAAAACATAGATCCAAGGTTTATAGGGTTGCATGTACACCATAGGAGTGTTAGAATGCTCAAAACCCAACAGTGGTATCAGAGCCTCAGCTTGTTTTCTTGTTATACTTGCAATAAAAGCTAAAAAATCGAGTTTTGTTGTTGTCTACCCAGCAGACTCGCCGCGTCCATGAAGGGACTCGCCGAGTTGGTTTGTGCACTCGACGAGTTGGACCCCCAGACAACATAAATTCGACTTTTTTTGGCTGGAATTGGACTAGGAACATTACCCTAAGATGTTTTTGGACTTATAAATTTGTTTTTGATGTTGTAATATTCATGCTAATCCAATTTCAAAGATAGTTGTCAAAAGATTCATGTTTTGTATTAGTTTAAGGTTTAGACTAATTACATGAAAAGGTTTGGTTTGAATTATCTTGTTCTTATGAGTTGCTTAGATTAATAGAAAAGTTGAGTGAAATAGTTGTTTTCAATCCAAATTAATCTAAGAGTTGATTCTAAAATGTGTTTTTGTAACTTGTCCTCAAGTTATATGAAAAGTCACATTTAAGTTTTATAAAACTCATAAAAGTTAGAAAAGGTTACAAAAATGAAGAGTCTTGTCTCATTGAATGGTTTTATGACTCCATAACTTGTCCTCAAGTTATGGAAGTTCAAGAGTCACTTCATTAAGTAATAAAATGTGTAACCTTAATTAATTCCATAAGTTATAAAATAAAGATAAGTTAATTCTTTTATTAGTTTAAAGTCTTCCATAACTTGTCCTCAAGTTATGGAACTTGAAGAGTTTTTGGATTAAAACTACTTTAAACACATAAGTTATGGAATTAATTAGTTTTGAATAATTTCAAAACTTTCCCTCAAGTTTTGGAATTTGAAAAGTGTTCTCTTATGAATACTTTAATTCCAAGTTAGCCCGTAGAATTTTAAAAGTTAAAATTCAACCCTTATACTTTATAATATTATAAGTTAATAATAATTATATATATGTATAAGAGTAAAGTCAGTCTTACCGTTAGTAGGCCTTATTCACGAAGTCGGTCTATAAGGGGGTATAAGGTTACTGCCTATAAAATGGCATTTTTAATGGGTGTCTACTCTCACCCACCGCTTCCTTGACTGGTGGAGGTTGTTAGCCGAATGGGTTTGACAGGACTATAATTCTCCCTTCATTAAAAGTATTAATGATAAATACTAAGTAACTAAACTCTTAAGAATACCCAATCTTAGTTACTTAGGAAAATGTGAATAAGGTGCTAATCCATGAAATTACACTTTGCACTTTGTTTAAGTCGGTTAATGGAGCATGTGTGGTTAACCGGCACACTAACTCGTATTTAACAAGGTAGGCAAAGGGTAACTTAATGTTTATCATAGTATCGATGGAGCGTGTGTGGTTAACCGGCACATCGATTGAGGGGTAAACACTTAAGGGTACCAAGTAATTTGCATGGTTACTTCACACCTTATTTTGTGATCCTCGGCATCCCAGTCACAAAACCTGAAGGGCACACTCGAGATTGAAACATGCCATTGAACAGTTCAATGAATCTTAAAAGATCTAGGAGTTTCAAATCCAATTAAAACCTAATAATAAATTTCGTTTATCTTGGTGGAAATTGGTGAATCGTCATTCACCTACCTTCAAATATTTTATAGCTTGGATTACGGCATCCCTCTTCTAAGTTATAAAATAGTTTGTTGGGTCCTAGCCTTAATATTTCATATTGGGTGTCATATTAAGGACTTAAGATCAACTATATTGAATATCTCCCAAAAAGATGTCTGGTTTAGACATTTATGATCTTCCCAAATCTCTTGAAACAAGCTTTCTTAAATGAAGATGATGTCCTTCGGAAATCATACTTCGTTAACCTCCTCCAAATTATTCTCCCTAACCTACAAGTTCTTAAAAAGTTTAAGGCCACTCAAGCCCTATTGGCAAGGCAATGTCTAGGTGTGATCACATCTTGGAGATGTAGTCACATATTGACAAGCCGGGAGAGTTGGGTGTCAAAGTCTAGAGAAAGTTGGTGGCTCAACTACTTTCTAAGTCACATAGTGAGTTCTTTTGGAACACTTATGAAACAGACTATGACAAGACCCTTAATGATCTTATCTATTTGCTAAGATCAACTTCCTAAAACTTTATGGACATTGACAATGATGACATTGGATATCTAGTAAAGCTCTCTCTTCCCAATGGAAAGGGATCGGCCATAGTCAACTCGGTTGACCAAATGGTAAAGAGAAAGGCTAAGTCTGAGATAGTCCCGTGTACCATTATCAAAGGGTCCATATGTTTATATTTCCAAAGGAAGGGTCATTAGTTGCCAAGCTGCCAAATTTACCTAAAGATGTTAAAGTCAATAAGTTTGACTCTACATCAGGTAAAGTCCACTATTTAACTCTGCTAAGTTTCTATTCTGAGATTCTTGATACATGATATGACTGGGTCACATAGTGATGTTTTAAGAATCAAAGAGAAAGGAAGAAACTTAAAGAAAGAATA